ATTTTCGGTTCAATGCGTAACTCAAGATGGCGTCCAGCAAACAAAAACTTGCTATTCTAATCCTATTTGCGGGTATAGCTTGCTCACTCTTTTATATGATGTCTGCAATATTTTTGTATTTGGTAAATATATACAAGCAAATACGACGGCATAGAAGGGCGGGAGTGAAAGCTGTTTACACTTGGACCGTAACGTTTCGCGAACGAAGCAAAAACCGATCCGATACAATGTAAACATAGCCAAGTGGCTCATAAAGTAACTGCTAAAAGAGGTCGGAGGGGAAAATAAATTTTCCTCCAAAAAATTTTGTGACCCATCCGGCTGAAAAATTTCATGGCCCATCACAAGTTATTGGAAATTTTTCATTTCCCACCCTGTTATACATCTTTGTCTATCACTTGGAACAAACCATCATGCTTTCTCCATAACTAGAACCAATAAATTAGTCACATTTTTAGTGATCAGGTAAACATGATTTGCATCACTTGATAAAAGTACCTCAATTCCAAACAACCATAGTTTCATAGCAATTTCATTTGATTTTGGCGATGTAAGATAGTCATGAAAACTATTAAAAATTACGTTCTTGTATACTAATAATAAATTTTGTTTCTTATTTTTAATTCACTTTTTATATTGGATGTTATTCAGTTTTAAGACAATCAGTTATAGTCATTCTACAGTGGGGATGGGGCCTCTACGGTATAGACTACAGTATGAGTGCAAACTGGCTATATCTGCTTTATGACCAACCATTTGCATAAGAAATACCTATAATGGCCCATCAAGATTGATGAAAATAATCTAATATCCCATCCATGCATATTCCCTCCGGCCCACCCTAGGCCTACAGTTACTTTGTGACCAGTCCCTAACTGCCTGCAAGCCTTTTCGAGAAGAATTATTTGATTTTTATTAAACTTTTTAGTCACATCAGAAGTCAAAACGAAGGACCACCTGTGCCGTATCCGTGTGGACTGAACGCATTTTATCAAAGCGCAGAAAATACGGGAAATAATTGCATTGCTCTTCATTCGGATTTACCTGTCATACAATGCCAATGCACAACTTGCATGTTAGACTTTGTTAGACTAAATTTTAATCTAAGTAAAGAGAAGGGAATCAAACACCACAGCTGAAAAGAACATAATGAAATTAGTATTGCGAAATGTTGTAAACCTTGGAAAATATATTATAGTCTTGCAAAGGTTGCAAATTTTGTATGTTTGTATTACGTGCGCAAATTGTTACCATTTTCGGCTCAAAAATGGTAACAATTTCCGCACGTAATACAAACATAAACAAAATATGCAGACTTCGCAAGGCTATATTTTCCGTATTTTACAACGTAATTTCGTTACCAAATTTCGCAATTTTACTAATTTTAATAAGTTCTTTACGGGAATTTACTTTTTTTCCTAGATAAAAAATTAGTCTAACATACAAGTTGTCTATTCATGAAGTCACTAGTCTCATGGAAAATAAAAATATGTTATTAAATGGCATGCATATGATAATTAGTGTCATTGAAGAGACGTTTTCCCGCAGTGTTAATTAATGTTTCCAGTGGTTTCCCCACCTTTGAAAATATGGCTAGGTCAACATATTGTCAGCGTAAGAGAAATATTTAAAATGTTGTTGTGGAAACCCGATAGTATAGGTCGTCCACGCTCGCTTAACTTGAGACTGTATTCAATATTTCAATCTTCAATCAATCGTGACAGGCAGTGAATTTGATAAAATTTCACACAACTTTATTTGACTATAACAACTACAAACAATCTACATACATGGTTATATATATTAAAATATATAATACATTTTGAAAGGAAGAAAATAACTAAATGATGACGTTAAAGGAAGATCATGCCAAGCGTTCCTATACGCCTACAGGAAGGACATTCTTTATTTATTACACTCCTGGAAGGTCAAGTGTCACGTGTATGTATATACGTATGTATGTATGTAAACTTTATTTAAAGACGTTAGCCTCGTCAACGATTTGTTGATTTTCACGAGGGACGTCTGTTACTATTAAAAATTACAAATATGGTATAGAAAAGAATAAAGAATTATATACAACTATTTACAATACAAGAATTAAGTTCCAAACGGTGTGACCCATATTCTAAAGCATGCATATACAATATATTAGAAGATGTTAGCGTGAATCTTTCAGGCAGTTTTTAAAAGAATAAATTGATTGCGCTAGCTTCGCATCAGAAGGAAGACTATTCCACAATTTAGCTCCGCTATACTTAAA